TGGCCGTCGGCCCCAGACTTGTCACCTTCAATACGTACCGCCGGACAGTGGGGGCATACCGCCGCAACATGACCATAGAAGCCACAAGTAAAGCAGATCGCAGGAAGGGATTCATATTCAACCCGCTGAAACTTGCCTTGAATGGAAAAACCCACACACACCTGTTTCGTGACGTCCAAGACTATCGCCAAGCGAGCGTATTTACCCCTAGCCTGAGTGGCGGTTTGATGATCAATCTTTATTACCTTCTCGACAATATTACCAATGGTCCGAAAAATCTTCTTGTGATATAAGTGAACTGGAATGTCGGGCAGCCGAATCCATGTCACTAGAGATTTGATTTGGTTACTCGTCGCATCAAAGTCGGCACTCCAAGGCTGCACATGAAGGTAGAACCTCTGGTACTGCTTCGTTATCATCCATGGCCCTCCCACAAGAGCCCGGACGACATCATCCTGCGTGTTGAAACGCACCTGGTAGTATTCGTTTTCCAGATCAATCATGTCGCAACCCCCCATAAAAGGCCATAGGGACGTCTACCCTCGTAATCCGAGCGGTCCTTATCCGGCGGGTTCACCTTAGGGTCATCGGGGGGACCCCGGGACATCACAGTCGCTCCGTTGAAGGTAGGGTTCTCCGTCATCGCTGCCGAGTTATTTGATTATTTATTTTTATTAAAAATATCGAGTATAGTGGAATTAATTAAAAATTAAATTAGAGTATAAATTGAATATGAATTGAAATAAATTTATAAACATTTTTTTTATCTTAAATAAACATACTCAACCGAAAGTCCTCAATTGGATTGTAAACAAAAATAACAATCTATACTTATATTATAATCAAACCTATTTACTAAATTCAGTATGTTGAATAGTCAATATTAATTAATGACTTTCTAATCTTATCAAGTGCATTAATTACGTGTAGTTTGGTAAAAAGAAAAAAAATCTGATAAAATCAAGAAATAAAACTTGTATAGTAAGATTTGATCACAAATCTTTTCTTATATTTTTTCCAATTTGGACGTGTATTTTTTTTTTTTTTTATTTCAGATTTTTTTGTTTTTAAAATTCTATATTATTAAGGAAATAAATCACGCATTTGATCACAAATCTTTTCTTATCTTTTTTCCAATTTGGATGTGTATTTTTTTTATCTTAGATTTTTTTGTTTCCAAAATTCCATATTATTAAGGAAATAAATCACGCTCTCTCTTTCACAAATAAAAACAAATTTACAACTAATATAACTAACACATCTCATAGTATTATGCAAGGAATAATTTATAATTATATTTATTTATCAAAGATGATAAAAATAGTTTAACATACTTATCTCACTGGCAAATGAAAAGATATTCCACGTTTTAAAATATTATACTCCTCAAATAATAGTTTACGTGTCTCGCACAAGTCACGTATTATATATCCCGTATATTTTTTTATTCATTTATATAATTACAAGGCTAAATACCTTGAAACTGTACACCCGTGCATCGCACGGGATCTGTACTAGGAGTAAATGAATAAACAACCAATTCTGATCGAACAAAAAGGGGCCGATAAATGCAGAGATCCCAACGGCCAAATAGTTTGAATCAAGAGATGGGGAAAAGGGTAGTGCGAAAAGAGGGCCAACAAACCCTAATTTCAGATGATGATAGTGGTGAAGAAGGAGCAGCAAAAGGGCCTCCATTCTTCTCCTGTTACCTGCTTACCTCAATCTCTCCCCGATTCAAAGGCCACACTTACATCGGGTCTCAATTTCATCCGCTCTTCAAAATAGTATCCTCAATTATTTCAATTTCTTGATCGCATTCAAAGATCCAGACATATGAAATGGTGGTTTTTCTTATGCTCGCAGGTTTACTGTGAATCCACGGAGGAGAATAAGGCAGCACAACGGCGAAATCGTAAGCGGCGCATGGCGGACCAAGAAGAAGCGACCTTGGGAAATGGTGCTCTGCATCTATGGCTTCCCAACTAATGTTGCAGCCCTTCAGGTTCTCTTTCTTTCTTTATTTTTTTTTTTTATCCCCTCTTTTTAATTGTTATTTCAGCTGCTCTATGTTTGCCGAAAATATTCTTGTCTGTAATACTGGCATTTTCCATTATAAACGACCTTGATGATTTAGGAAGAAGCTTCATGTGGGTGTGTGTATGTGGTGAAGTCCATGCCGAATCGAAGGATTACAAACTATTATCCGAGTATTTCAAGTTGAATCTTCGTGTGGGCGTGTGTATGTGGTGTGGTATAATCAGTAATGCTCCCCTACCCACGGTGGGCACATGTTAATATGCCCACCGCTTATGTTGCATGCCCACATTGTTGATGTATTTTTTTGAACATATTAACATTACCAATGTGTGCATGCAACATAAGCTGTGGACATATTAACATGTGTCTACCGTGGGTATGAGAGCATTATTGGTGGTATAATTTTTAGTGCTATTTTCGAGTTGTCTAATCATAATTCAACACAGCTTTCAGTTTCTCCGTGGTAAAAGACGATTTGTTAGTAACGATTTATGAAAGTTGAAATTTCTGTTGTCATTGGCAGTTCGAATGGGCCTGGCAACACCCATCAGAATCTCTTGCAGTCAGGGAAGCAGCGGCTAGCTTCAAATCCCTTACTGGACTCGCCAACAAGATTAAATTGGCATATACAATGCTTACTCTTCCTCCCTGGCAGAGGTGCGTATGAGATGAAATTTGTTTATATTTTTTTTTTCTACGGGTTTTTGTTTTCATTCCTTTTCTGCCGGAAACTTATGTTTTTTGTGCTTTTGTGTCTCGTCAGTTTGAACCTCACGGTGAATCTATTCTCAACAAAATATCAAATTCACACCTCGGGCTGCCCGGCCTTGCCCGATCAGATGCGGGCCCGAGTCGGTTCCATGGATGAGCTTCCCTGTTACAACTTAATATTTGGTGAATGGGATGATGACCATCATGACTGTGAGGAAAATGTACCCCAAGAAACAAATCATAATAGAGAGCATGGTGGTGGAGAAAATCGAGGGCCAGCCTTTATTTGTGAAACTGGTGTGAAACCGCTGGCTGCCTCGCCAAGGAAAAGAGGGTCAGCAGCTGGCCAGGATGATAAAGAAGAATGGGCATCGAACGGTCAAGTGGATATAATAGATGTTTTTACACCTTCTCCGTGCCGCGAGGTCGACTCAGGTAGCAAGAAGAGAAGGCGGCGTATGAATGTTGGTTCCGAGATAATTGACCTGACCACCTCTCCTTTGTTTGTGGGATAATAGTATATAAATATGCACTGCAAACACTTGTGAACAAGAATAATCAGGAATTAGAGGGATCACATGAGTTTACTGAATCTGATGTACTATGTGGATACTGCTAAAATCATAGTATGTGGACACCAATCATGCAGATCGGGAAGTTAGACACTGCTGCAGTCATGGGCTTTTTTAGCCTTTGGTTTGCACGCACAGACACGCAAACTCACACGGTGTGTGTGATATAATGAGCTAAAAGCCCATATATGTCCATGACTGCACTGCCCGAAGGGTTTGGTTGAAATTTTTCATGCACTCTTTTCAACTTCACGTGTATGTTTAGTAATCGACCCACATTACACATGTAATGTAGCGTGAGGACTGTCCTATAATGAAACAATGAGCAAATATATGAAAATTGTGTTCGTAGAAAGGAGATATGGTTGGCATCTCCCCCGACAGGGACGGGGACAACCTTCAGGCTCCTGGTAACACATCCGGTTAAGGCTACCCACTTCGGTAGATCTCTAACCCAATATATTAAAATTAACAAAGAAACAAATAAAAGTATGACATTATTATACATTTGTTAGTTTAGATGTGTATTTTTGTTTATAAAATATGACATGTTCATTGGCTAAACATTTAGTTTTCTCATTCAAGTTTTTGTTACTGATAGTGTAGTAGTCATACAATAGATAGAGTTCATCGTTTAGCTGTCTAATACAATTATTAGTTATAGATAAATGTAGTGCCATACAATAAATTTCCGCATTCCAAAAGTTATTCCGACCTATGTCGATTCATTTCCAATAAAATTTATTAATTCTTATACAGTTATTACAAAGAAAACTCAAAAGTTATTGTANNTTTTTTTTTTTTTTTTTTTATAATAAGATGACATTGTTTATCCATCTTGATGTTACAATTATATAGTGGACTAGATAAATATTTCTTCTCCTTGTGCTAGAACACTGCGGTGAAGGCGGTCGTTCAATGGAACATTACCAGATCCGCCATACTGAAGATTGTGTCATATTAATTGCTGGTCGGACATTTTTTTGCAGGCCAGAATCATAGTTGACAAACACATGATAACTCAAGATAAATGTGCTTGTCCTATCTAATCCTCCAACCAAACGTGCTCTAAAAGATTTTCACAAACACAAATGCATGCGGAGAACTCAAGGAGTTTAGGAAATTGAAGTGGACAACCTGCTGTTCTGATGTAGGGGAAGCGTGAGAACAGTCTCAAAATACCAAGAACAATATCATTTTTTATTCATTAATTAACCATCCATCAAAGTCACTGGGTTGAACAATATATAATAATCCTAATCTTAGTCTCCTAAATTTGCCCAACAAGCTAGATAATTATTTACTTGTCCACTAAGCAAGTAATTATTCTCTTACCAATTGACTACTAATCATAAAAGGAATAATAATAATAATAATAATAATAATAATAATAATAATAATAATAATAATAATAATTATATTAATAATAATAATAATAATAATAATAATAATAATAATAATAATAATAATAATAATAATAATAATAATAATAATAATAATAATATTCATTCTCTATCATCCTCCCCCGGTTGAAAAGGATTCGCCCTCGAATCCGAGATGACTAGACCAAGCCGTTTCCTTGCCCTTGCATCCAACACGGCGCATTGACCATGCCGTCAAACCCACAGGAGCCGCACCAAAAAAAGCCACGATCCGGGCATATCCTTTGTAAAATTGAATGTATAAGTCAAATTGAAGACCCATCTCAAAATGACCTCGTACTTGACAGTCGGAATCACGAGTCCACCAATAACATCACAAATAGAAAGAATGTGTGGATGAGGAACGTCATACAAAAATTTTTCTCCAATCATCTCCGGTTTCTCATCAAAAATCGATAGACCGTCGTGCGCCACGAACGGCTCCTCGTCGAAAATCGGGGGGGGCCTCGGACTCGATCGAACCAAACTTCTCCTCCGCCAC